ATGATTATATTGTAGATCATGTGCCTTGCTTTGCACCACCCTACAACTTGTAGTGAAAGATGGCTTTAAAGAAATTGGTCCATTATGGCGTGTACTTCAGAAAGTTGCTAAAATAGTATCTCATGCTCGTAAATCAATAATTGCAACAAAATTGCTTGAAGGAGAAAAAAGGCTACAAGCTAAAAATGATACAAGGTGGAACAGTGAGCTTAATAGTATCAAGTCCATTTTAAGTGTCCCAGAAGATAAGCTTAATTCACTACAAACATCTCATCTTACAGCCTATGAAAGAAAAATGCTAGAGGATCTAGCAAAAATCTTAACCCCTTTTGAAGAAGCTACAAACTTAACACAAGGACAGAATGTTATTACTAGTAGTTTTGTTGTACCCTGTGTTCGAGGCCTACGTAAATCTTTTCAGCTGCTTTCTTTAGCCTATAACTCAAAAATGGTCGACACTCAAGAAATTCATTGAAAACAGACTTTCTAAGTACGAAGATGATGCTAAGTTTAAATTTGCCACTACTTTAGATCCACGTTTTAAGTTTAAATAGTGTAACAATGAGGAAGAGAAAAAATTTATGAAAGCCAAACTTCTACATGTAGTTAAGGAGAGCAATCAGCTGAAAGAGAAAAGGACACACCATGTGACTCTGATCCACATCCACCACCTGCTAAAAAGAAGAAATCTAGTCAGCTACGTCAACTTTTATTTGATGGGATGACAATATTGCTAATAATGAAGTCCACCCTACTGTAGATGAAGTTTCATCATATCTCTCTTCTTCTTGCTTAGATGAAACAGAAGATCCCCTCCTTTTTTGGAAAGCAAATACTTCAACATACCCAGGTTTATCTACTTTGGCTAAGTATTATCTGTCAGTTCCAGCTTGGTCTGGACCAGTCGAACGTCTGTTTAGTACTGGTGGAAAAGTATTTCATCCAGATCGCTGTAGGCATACTGACACCAAGTTTGAGAAACTCATGAACATTAAATGTAACAGTCATTTGTGAAAACATATGTACATGTATATGATGTGTTGGTAATACTACAATCAGTACAATGTTGAGTGAAAATAATTTTTCTTAACTCTAAACTACTTCGCCCTGTAGATTATATCTGTAATAGTAATATAGTAATAGTAATTAGATTACATTGTAGCTGTAATAGTAATAGTAATAGAGATACAGTGCACTGTAATAGTAATATGTGACCATAATTGACAAAACGTACCTTATGGCGGGTAGTGAAATTTGTCTTTCTAGTCTAAGAAATCCAACTTCCTGAGCCCCATTCATCATAAAATTACTCCACAGGATGCAAAAAGTTACCATGAAACTTTTAGAAACAATGATTGTCTAACAAAGCACTCACAGGTTGATATTTTCCATTATAACGATCAATTTTAAAATCCGCCATGAGGGCCCTTTTGTCAATTATGGTCACATATAATAGTAATTGCAAACTGTACATTAAACAAGTAATAGTAATAGTAATGTAATCCTTTTGCCTGTAATTGACCCCATCCCTGTTTAGTACTATCCTTTCTTTAAAATGGCTGTAATAGAAGAGACTTCATCACTTTGCTCATTATCTAAGGATACTTCTGCTTCACCATAATGCAATACTTTCATCGTCATGTTCTTCATATCATTTTGCTGGTTGGGTCTCCTATTTTTCTGGCTTGATGGTGACATAATGAGGCACAGAAAGAACTCTGTGCCTGGCTACCTTCTTCAGTGGACAATTATTTGATGTTCTCTTAAGCTGACGTTGAAGGTCACATTTCAATCTTATAGAGGATGGACAAATGACACTAACCGCAATCGTCGCTCCTTTCGCCAATTTGCCGTCAGTTCAAACTAAATTAAGCAATTTACTGAATCTACACGACAGAATCGTTCATAAGTCCTACAAACACTCTCAATGTCAAAACAAATGACTTCATGAATCTTGTCATGTTCCATGACATCAATACCGGGAAAAAATCAGTAAATAGGAGACTCAATGAAAAACTCTGGGCAAATCTCTAAAACTTTGCTTTCAAGATTAACAGCAGTTAATAGCCTGCACTGAAACACTCTCAAAAGAATATGTACCACATATTCTTTAACTTCGTTGATTATCCTTACTCTTGATGTTGGCCCAAAAGGAGGTTGAGCAAAGACCTTTTCATGTGTCAATATCAAACATAATTGGGCACCAAAGGTGTGCTTAGACACTACAAATCCCTTTAAAATGGTAGAAAGTGACAGGTACAACATGGTGACGTCAAATTCTGCTTCAAAGTTCTCTTGCTTCTCAACATGAGGAACTATACTAAAATTACAGTTAGATGAAGTACACGCCCAGCTATTTATGGCTTCGGTACCTAGTGCAGTTATGACTTATTGTGCTAAATAAGGTATGCAGGAATGTACAAACAATAAACATTCAACTTTTATGCGCACATATCACTGGCAGCATAGGGCAGTTAGACTCTCTCCCCTCCTCTTTATCTACTCTTGGTACTATACATAATTATTCAAGTACATTTTATTCCCTCACGTGATTTAACAAGAATAAAAGCACTGTGAATTATACAAGTGAGCTATGAGTCAAGAACAAGCTTGTAATTGTCGTCAGACTGACGCTTGAAGAGCTTCTGAGACCCCTGGAGCAAAAAAAGCGAGGCTGGCCCTAAGAAGACTATGAGATAGACCTCATATAGATGCATATCAAGAGAGAGCTATGGCTCAATCAAGAAGAGCTATTGCGACACCTGCTGAGAGGCACCACCAACTCTTAGCTAAAAGAGACAGGTCTGAACTACTGTCAATGGACAACATTAAAGTGCAAACAAACAGTTCCAACATTGTTACAGTAGTCCTTAGTGAAGAATGCATAAAGTGCATTTACATTTATGCCTTTATCAATAGAAACAATTTAATTTACCATACATGATGATAAAGGTTGTGCTTGCCCCTAGAATGTACTACATTTGCCTAGTTAAAATTTTCATTGCTGGTCAACATTTTTGGTCGGGCATTGCCTGTTCATGCAAGACCTAGCCACCGCCTATAGTCTGAACAAAAGATATGGAATAGATGTATTGCATAAAATACACAGTATAAAGTAACAACCCCTATTTTTGGACTGTTTCTGCAATAAACATGCATGCTGCTATGACTGTAGCATAACTTCAGTTTTCTTCTTGGCTTACACACATTCTTGGTATTAGTAAAATTGTCTATGGGAAATACTTTGGAATGATAATAAGATGTCTTTCCTTAATGCAAGAGGTTTTGACATGATGCTGCCGTTTCCTCCTAATTTCCGACAACAGCCATTATTTCAGAGCATTACTATATGTTATAGTTAAACAACAGATGTTGAGGGTTACTAGATATACACAAGGATGTTAGGTGATTTTGAAGCCAAGGTGAATGAAGCGAAGGCTTCTAAATCAACTAACATCCAAGTGTATATCCAGTAAAATGAAACAGCTGTAGTTTATCTGGCTTGTACTGCAGTGTGTTGGTGTATGAAAGGCACTGTCGTCTAACTACCAGAATTGGCAGTTAGATGACTTCTAACTACCCCTGCTGTGGTTTACACTACATAAACTAGTTGCGCTGCCTTTAATATACACACATACTGTAGTACAACGACCAGGGCCTTTGACAGGGGGTGTAGCAGGTACATAAAACCAGGGCCCCCAAAGAAAGAGCAGAGGGCAGGGGCCCCATATCCAGTACAAAATTACTTTGTTCGCTACTTATGAACATCTACAAGAAAAGGAACTGAATATACTGGACTCTGTTGAGTGATTTCTTCATTTCTTAAGCTCAGTTTTATCCTTGACTGACAGTGTCCATTTTATTATTAGATAATAACTTTAACTTTAATAATAATTACGTTTTAACTAATAATAAACACATCAATTATGGCTCTAAGAAAGTACCCTTCTGGATATGCAAAGCGCCTGACAAAGCAAAAGAGAGATGAAGAAGAAGCTAAAGGAAAAAGAACCATTGATAGTTTCATTAGGTGGTCTACGTTTCAACAAAACGACCCAATCCAAGATCTTGAAAGTGATCATAGTGCTGAAACTGAGTCTGCAGCAGCTTCACATCACACTCCTGATGTAGCAGTAAACAGTGATCCTGAAATTAGTGAGTCTTCTCATGATGAATCAATTGCTGGATATTTAAGCGATGATCAAGAACATTTAGAACATGAAGAGAATTATGAAGCCTTTGAGGGTGTCAAAAATGGGTTTGACCTTGGAATTTTATCTGAGTTTGATACCATTTCTAGTAGTGATGTCCACCAAGCTGTCAAATGTGGCCCACCTAGACATCCACTATAATTTTCAAAGGATAATGATGCTACTAAGTTTCCTCGAAATGTTTTAACTTATAAAGCACAAAATGGTGAGGTTAAACCTAGAGATTGGCTTGTTTGGAGCTATGTAAAGGAAGGATTATTCTGCTTCCCTTGTCGTCTGTTTGGATCTGGTCAGTCAAAATCTATACTGACCTCCAAAGGTGGCTGGTCAAAAAGCAAAGGATAGAAGAAGCTTTATAATCGAATACCGGAGCATCAAGCTAGTGCTGCTCATTCTGCTTGTTACGTGAAATGGCTTATGCTGCAGTTCAACCATTCACAAGCAGCAGGTGTTGATGATCAATTGCAGTCTAATATATTGTCAAATATTGCTACAAGGACTGCTATTTTACAAGGAATTTTACATGTTTTGATGTCCTTAACTCAGAGAGCATTGCTTTTTTGAGGGGATTCTGATCTCGTAAGTCACAGCAACAATGGAAATTTCTTAGGAATAACTGAGTTACTGGCTATTTATGATCCATTTCTTTCTGATCACGTTTCTAAAGTTCAAACAAGTCAAGAATCAAGAAAGATTACAAGTTCACTACCTTTCCAGTTTATCGCAAAATGAATTTATAGCAGCTTGCTCATCACAAGTTCTCAAAAAATTTTACAGCAAGTTCATAAAATGAAGTACTATTCAATACAAGTAGATGCCACACCAGACAGCTCTCATATGGAGCAGACTACATTTATATTACGCTATGTTTTGGAAACAACTACTCAGGAACAGAGTTGTTTATGAAGTAATTCAATGCTTTGTGACATTTATTTCTCTATCAAAATAATCTGGATCAGATATTACTTCACTTGTCCTCGATCAATTGAAGGTAAATGCAACCTGTAATAATTGACATTTTTATGGCAATTTTAGGTGTGGGAATTACCATTACACAATTGCCGTGGACAGTGCTATGATAATGGTGCTAATATGGCTGGTAAAGACAATGGTGTTCAAGCTCAAATACTAGAGTTATACAAATATGCATTGTTCACACCATGTGCTGCCCATTCATTGTACTTGGTACGAGCAAATGCAGCTGAGTGTTGTCCAACAGTTACAACATTTTTTGGTACAGTACAAAAGCTATACACCTTTATGAGTGTTAGCCCCCAGTGTTGGGAAATATTGCTTAAGTGTATACCCTGTTCATTGCATGGTCAGTCTCATACACGCTGGTCAGAAAGAATTGATGCCGTACGACCAGTTGCTGCCCATTTGCCGGGTATCTTACTAGCAATAGGAAGTGTCTCTAAGCTTAATTTGTCACCAGAAGCAAAAGTCACAGTGGATGGCTTGCATGACTACTTTAATTCTTTTCCTGCTGTAATTATGTCAGCAATATGGATCAAGGTTCTCTTAGCTATAGACAGACGAAACAAGGTTTTACAAGCAAGAAAAGCAACTATTGATGTTGAAGTTAAAAATCTTGATAGCCTTACAGATGATTTAAGTTAATTAGAAATAGTTGGAGAGATATAGTCACAGAAGTGAAGCGAGTAGCGGAATCAATGAAAAAAAAAGAAAGAGAAGATTTTTTGATGAGCCTGATAATGAATCAGAAAATACAGTCCCACAGCCTTCTACATCTAGTGGCGAAACACCACAGGAAAGAGTTACGTCAGACTGTTTTTTACAATTTGAGTGATAATGTAATTCCGGTATCACTGAGCGATTTACGGCAGAGAGACATTAACAACCTTTTTTCATTCTTATGGAGTTACCCACATATTGATAGTACAGAGCTCAAAAGTTCCGCTGAAAAGTTCATATCTTTCTATAACACTGATGTTTTAGAAGAACTTGTTGAAGAGTGTCTACTTTTAAAAAGTGTTCATAGTGCTAATTTTTCTGAGCCATTGTACAATCCTCTCAATTTACTTAGAAGATTAATGAGCTGAAACTTGAGAATCTTCTTCCTAATATATGCATTTCTTTACGCATTTTTTGTACCATATCTGTCAGTGTTGCAGAGGCTGAAAGGTCATTTAGCAAGCTTAACATAGTTAAGAACTATCTTTGGTCAACAATGGCTCAAGACTGTTTGCAGAACTTAGCTCTACTAAGCATTGAAAATAACCTTGCCAGGACAGTGAATTATGAAGATGTAATTAGACATTTTGCAAGCATTAAAGCCAGGAGAGTTCCTTTTGACTAAAACCATATAGACATTATTATTGCAATCTTATTATTAATGAAGCTAATTAATAAACCATTTGTTAATAACTACCGGAAACCACGCCCCTGAATAATATGCGCCAAATTTTTAAAGTGCTCCGCAGATCCTCTTCCCATGTGCTTTCTACCAGGGCCCCCAGAACCCTGTCAAGGGTCCTGACATAAACTGTTATACAGAAAGTAATTGTCAATTTACAAAAATTGCAAAATAGATGCATTATAGAGCTAAACAAAAAAAGGTAGTGATACAAAATTATCTTCACATGACTTGTAGAAAAATTCAATGCTCAAGGTTAAATAATGACACTCCAGGATGCCCAGCATGTTTGTTGAGTCCAACCTAAGCAAGACTTGCACTGAGTCCATTGATCCTAATTCATTATATCTTCTTCATCAAAGGACACACCACAATGCAGACAGCAATCGTCTTTATTTGTGTTGCTAACAGCTCTTTTCCTTCTTTTTGCTCTTTTATTGCTCTGGCTTCCTTCTTTCTTTTTCTGTTTCTCGTCAGCTAGCCTATTCTTTTCATTCCTTTTTCCTTCACTTTTTCTATTTCTTCCTTTTTATGCTCCTCTTATTTTCCTGGATCTTTTTATACTCTTTCCGTTGCTTCGTCACTAGTCATAATCTCCACAAATGCAGTCAACCATCTCTGTTTTTGTTTGCTATTGCTACGGCGTGGTGTTTGGCTTTAGAAAATCTTCACAGAGTACTTTTGAAGTGAGCTTGATGTACTACGATTACGATTGGGATTAGTGGCTTAGATTTTGAGGAGTTGAAATATTTATTCCATTTAAGGCCAAAAAGGCCACACAGTGGGATGGTGGCGGTCAATCACTGACATCTCTTTTCCAGAGGGGCAATCAGGGAATAATGGGGTCAACTCCAAATTTTGCTCCATGAGATATTTTTCTGTTGACTGCCTAGTCGAGGTGGTAGCTTCTTTTCGGCAGGGAGCTTTGATGACTATGATTGACATTAAGTCAGCATATCGGCTCTTGGCTATTCACCCCCAGGATAGACACCTGTTAGGCTGCAGATGGTAGGTGTCCCTCCTGATAAACCACACCCTTTCCTTTGGACTCTGTGCAGTTCCTGATACTATCGACAGGTGCTGCCAGTAAAGCCGTCTCCTTTACTGACCATTACCTGAATGATTTTATCACAGTTGGCCCCCAGGATCTGACCAGTGTGCTACCAATCTGGGGATAATACAAAGAGTTCCAGCCTGGCTTGGTGCCCCGTAGCCTAAGAAAAATGTGCCGGTCTCTCTACATGTCTTGTCGTTCTCGGCTTTGAGGTGGACTCAGGCCAGTGAGAACTTTGCCTTCCACAGGAGAAGGTCGAGAGGATCTATGATACCTTGGTGGAGTGGGCGCACAGAGAATGGTGCTGGCTGCAGGAGGTCGAGACCCTGGTTGGCACTTTTCAGAAGGAAACGAAGGTCATTGAGCCAAGCAGGGCCTTTTTATGCCAGATCTCGGGCCACCTCACATGAGGCTGCTACTCGTTGCATCACATTAGGCTGAACCAGGGCTTTAAGGCAGATTTGCAGTGGTGGCAGTTCCTGATACACAACTGGAACGGGGCATGATGATCATAGTGCTGTGTCATGTATTGCCCGTACATTCTCTCCAATTTCAAGTTCAGATGAGGAAGACAGTGACGAAGAAAATGAAACATCTATTGAAAAGTCACACAGCAAAAATAAAGGTAGTGACAACTGAACCATCATGTTAACAGTTATACTCCTATTATTTTCAGGAGATAGTCAGTCAAATGAGAGTGCTGAAGACATGGAAGTAAATATGTCACACAGTTCAAATAAAAGTAACTTATTTGCGCCATTGCATTAACTTTAGCTGTAACATTTTAGCTAATAATATTTAACCAAGTAATGAAGACAGACCTACCTTCCACTCCTTCAAAACTGTCGGCGATAAAATCGACATGAATGTAACTCCACATTACCTTAGACCTAACATAAAGGTTAAGTCACTTCATTACTACCATAGCTATGCCGTTCAAAGTAGAATTAATGTTAGAAATTTTGGTAGTGATAACCCTTCTTCCTGCCTTCCATCTCCTCTTTCTTCTGCGAGATCATTACTGCCAACAAAATACTGATAACAATTGTCTAATTGATAATATAAAAATTCCCTATTGTCAAATTTTAGTGCAAACTTTACCATTAGTTTTTTGCACTAACTGTTCTGATTTGATTAGTCATCACATCAAACATCAACGATATGGAGAGATGTCATCCCGGTCTTCAGTGGTATGTTTCTATTAGTTAAAAATTTAGATATATGTAATTGTTAATTTTTATTTTCACAAGTACTATTAGATGTACTACCTAAGAATGAAAACATAACTAAGGGAATGGAAGAAATTCTGTTATTTACACCAATGTGTTCCACAAATTCAATGTGAAAAGCAAATCCAAGTCTCAGAGTAAAAACAACTGTAACACCTGTCAAAGGAACAACAAACAGCATTCCGTTGGGAGGAGACAAGCTTTTGCAAGCCCGTGCTTGTTTAGCGAAAGCAAAAAGTGAAAGGCCACATAAGAAACTGGAAGGAATTATTCCAAGTATAGAAGACTGGCATACCAAACTTACTCTTTTTGAGGAATTTTAGAAGAAAATTGCATCATTTTAAAATTTTGATATATAGGTAATTTGGAATTACTTTGTTCAAACTTAATCTTCATCTAATCATGGGACGGCTAATCAACTCTGAAACCTACTTGGTAGGTGAAATGTAGACAACAAAGCCAGAAGAAATGTCAATGCATGTGAACATTTATTACGTTGATTCTTTGTGCTTACGTTACTTATGCTGCAATGTATGTTTTGCAAATGGAAAACCCAGATGATGTTCCCAGCTGTCTTCCACAAGACTTGTGGCTCAAAAGCATTGCTAATGGTATCAAAGTAATGGATACAATACTCAGCAGCATAGTCGATAAATTTGTTGACATCAAATATAATTTAGCACCAGCATCGTCTTCAAAGGATGTTGTGTTTTCCTATGCAAAGCAACTAATCAGTATTGGCTGCTTGTATATGGAATTTGCATATGCCATAAGAGGCCAGAGAGTTATGAGGTGGTGGTGTTACTTTATGGTTGTGTTTCGAAACACAAACAGGAGAAACTATGCAATGGAAGCCGTCAAATTGTTGTATCAACATCAGTACATTTTGTCTCCACAGATGTGGGAAGAATTGATGTATTTAAGATTTATCAGTCATGGGCTGCCCTGGTATATGGAACAAGTGAATCAAGATATTAAAAATGTATTTGATCATCTTGGCCCCAATAAAACTAAATCAGCAATAGTGAGATTAGGCAAAGCAATATGATCATTGGCTCCCTTTATTAATAATTTTGACACAGAAAATCAAATAATACAACATCATTCACATCATAAAACTTCTGAAAAAGAAGAGGTATACAAAATTGTAAACCATTTGAAAAAACATAATATTTATGCGCAATGTGATGGACGAAAGTACTCATATTATTTGTAACCCTTCACTTCACTCTTACACAAAACTAATGAAACTGATTTATTAACATGGATGACAACACATTTTTAAATAAATTTTATTAATTCTGACACAAAACTAATGAAACTGATTAATTAACATGGATGACAACACATTTTTAAATAAATTTTATTTAAATATCATTATTATGATAGTCTTGTTTACACTTATCACAGCAAATTTGTGGTTGAACTGAATGTTTTTCTTTATCATACCCTTCCATTGCACTGAACAATAACTTTCTACAACAATCATTACTAAGCATTAAATATTTTTCATGTCATCATTCAAATGTTGCACCTGAGAATATGTGAGAATATGCACATTACGGCAATCAATGCCTATACCAGAGGCAATAGTGGGACAGACTATTCTCAATGAGTTATTTGCTTCAGGAAATGATGCTATTATTTTATTTTTCACTTCAGTGTCTGCAAAACTGGTATACATTTTAACCAGCCTAAATTGTGAGAAGTCAGGTGCACCTAAGAGATTGAAAAACTCATCTATTAAGCATCGCTTAAAATAAAGATATATATCAGCACAATCAGCAATACGACGGCAGTAAAAAGGGTTTTTGGAAAAGTGGTTGATTTTACTTTAAGGTCGAATGACATAGTTGAGAAATTGTCTGGAATGGAAATGAGGTTTTCAACAGTATAAAAAATATTTCCTTTACAGGGTGACAGAATTACACATGCAGGTGATTTCATACCTAATATCTAA